CTCCCAGAAATGTGCCCATTGAAATTTACTGATATTATGTTGCAATCAGGTCCTTACATGAAATGGAATGGACAGGTGCTGCTACTTCAAATATTAAGCTAATACTTATGTTTAAATCACCCTTAGGGCTTTGCTCTTTTACTATACTATGTAAATACATTTGTAATCCAGCACGTTATTATTCTGATTTGCCCCACTCAAGCGGCAGCCATATTGAGTGGGGCACGTGAGATCAATAACGTGCTGGATTAGTGTGATCCTAGTTAATTTTATTACTTAATTGCTGTGCTGTATGTGTATAGGACCAATGTAGTTGGATCTGTATGTGCGTTATAATTAATCTTTTCGCTGTGGAAGCCATCGGGCGGCAGCTCAGCCACCAGAATCAATTCCAGATTAAAGCTGACAGACTGCTTTACACATGTAAACAGAGACTGTTTAAAGGTGCCCGCTGCCAACGAGGTATGACATACGTCGATGGCAGCAAAAGGGTTAAGGTTTTTTAAAGATTTTATTCATTCAGCAACTGATATGGGAGAGAGGGATAAGGGCTACAGACACCTAGGACAGTACAGACTCCAGACTCACTGACCACTTCCCTGCTTTGCAGTGCAGAGGGCCTTGCACCCTTTTGCTGCCAAGGTGTTTTTTGCACACATTATAATCCACATTGTAGGCCTGAATATTAGCACAACTCTTTATAAAACCCAAGATTTTTGTAAAAAATACACTTAAGTTACTTGTTACTTGTAGTGCATAAATGCACAGTATCATGCTGATACATATTTGTAAAATGTAAAAGATGAGGTTGTGCTCAGTAAATGGATACCCAACATGCCAGGGTTAAAATTCTGTGTGCCCGTGAAACGGCGAAAAAATCCAGTACCTCAAATTGTCCATAAGTGATGCTTTAAAAGGTCATCAGTTTAAAGTTACCTGTGAATATTGGCTCTAGAATTATTGCTGTCACTCTGGCACGTGTGGGCATATCTAACATGAGTAGCGCAATTGTCGTTTTCATACACAGGCGCATCCGACACGTGTTTACCATAGAATGCTCGTTGGGATGGAGGTCTTTTTACATTTGTTTTATTGTATTTTTTACCTTTCTTTACTTAACTTTATTGCTATCACAAACCCACTATGTGATAGCACATTGGAGGTGACAGGTTATTAGACCCCTAATGTCACCTTTGCACTTCAAATTCAAGCACAGATCATGCTTTGTCAGCTTCTTTCCTGATTTCTCTAGCTGGGTAATGACAGCTGAAAAGCTGGAAGTGACGCAATCAGCGTGCTTATGGCTTAATTCAGCTTGAAGGAGATCAGTGAATTGGGTGGGGTTTGACAGAGGGCACCTCCCAGAAATGAGAAGGGCACCTCACTGAAATTACTTATTTCAGGTAGGGATCCCTGCTTCAGGCACGTCACGGAGGTGGGTTGGCCAGACTTGTGATTGAGAGGGAGCTGTCAATTGCAAACTGTAAAGAATGGGGAAGTGCCTCACGTGCCGTGGTTAAACAACTTCTGCTGTAGATCAGGCGAGTTAGGCAGCCGCGAGGCCCCCACAAGAGCGAGGCCTTAGGCGGCCGCCTAACTCACCTAATTAAACAGCCATCTCTGGGAACAGGTTATGTAGAGTCTGAGCCTACTCACTGTATACACTGTAAACAGATTCCAAAGTCCTTGTATCCTCAAAAAAAAGATTTCTGTGCCACAAGTAAAAGTCTCAAAGACACACCTAAACATTGGCACAAGGGATCATTGAATTAAATTGAACTCTTACATTACACATGCTTTTCTGCACACAGACTATACACAAAGAGCTAACACTTTGTCTGATCCTACCTTAAAGAAGTTTCAAATTTGGAACTACTTTGCAGCCAGCTATTGAGACAATAATCACCCAGGTAAGCAGTATGTAATGCACAACATAGCATATACATTGCAGCTCGCTATATACTATATGAAACACAATATAGTATATAGAGTGCAGCATTCAGGACTATCTAAACTCAGCTGTCAGGACTGTATAACATACAACATAGTCTATAGAGCATAGTGGTCAGGACTATCTAGCATATAGAGTATACCAGTTATGACTATGTAACATGCAACATACAGTAGTATACAGAGTGAGTGATTACAACTATGTAATGCACAACATAGCATATAGAGCGCAGAGGTCAGGCTATGTAGCATGAAAAGTGCAGAGATCAGGACTAGGTAACATATAAAATAGTGTACAACGTGGTCATGGCTATGTCCAGTACACAGTGGAGCAGTCAGGACTATATAATGTACAACATTGTGCATACAGTGCAGAAGTCAGACTGTAAGGGTCTGGACTATGTAATTGTGCAACACAGCTTGGGCAGTGTAATGGTCAGGAGTAAGTTTACCTGTTGTGTTGGTGGTCAGCTCACTCCCTCACACTGGTGATCAGCATGCCCTTTTATTTTGTTAGTCAGTGCACAGTGTGTCCTCTTACAATGGTGGACAGTGCTCGGCATGCACCCTTACATTGAAGGTCAGTGCTCAGTGTGCCACCTCACATTGATGGTCAGTGTGCAGTGTGCCTAATTACATCAGTGGTCAGTGCTCTGTGTATTTTCTTATATTGATGTTCAGTGCTTGGTGTGTTCTCTTGTATTGGTGGTCAGGGATCAGTGTGCCCCTTGACTCTGGTATCCAGTGCTCAGTGTGCCCCCTTATATTGGTGATGAGTGCTCAGGATACTCCCTTACATTGGTGGTCAGTGTGTCCCCTTACAATGATGGTCAGTGTGTCTCCCTACATTGGTGATCAGTGGCCCCCTTACAATGGTGGTCAGTGCTCAGGTTCTCACCCTGGTCACCCTGGTAAAGATAGCCTGCTGGCTGATAGTCATTGTAGTGGTGCACGTTTGCTGGTCGCCTATTCGTCCCACCGACAAACATACAGCAGTCTTGTTGCTCATGGGTTTTAATTTTTGCATTTGGGCAAAACTTAAAACCACTGCATATCCCAAAAAACATCATCCCAGTCCCAGAGACAGAACCAGAAAGACAACCCACTCATCCCATACTAGCTGATAAGATGTTTATGATGACACAGACAATTAAGCTCATAGTGGCTCTAAGAGGCATTGGAAATGAGGTTCCATAAGTGCACCTAGCAGGGGTGACCATTCATTGCCAGAAGAAGAGCCAGAGTTTAGAAACGCTGCCACTGGAAATGAGAAAGGGCATTCGCCACCCACATTAGATTCACCAGGAACAGGTTTAGCTCTGAACCAAATATTATATAGAATGCATTTTTGACCAGAAATCTCACGAAAGAAAATACAGGAAGGGGTACTGGATAACTGGCGGTTAATTACATGAATCATGCTCACATTATCTTTCCATGCCATAACCTCTCCCCACAATTCAACTGCTACAATGATCAGAAACAGCTCCAACAGGATAAGGTCAGCTACAGGGAAAGATTCATTGAACTAAATATATACTAGTAATATAATAACCTTATCTAAATACATAAATGACCAATACAGAAAATTCTGTTACAAATGTTTAAAGCCGAACTCAGGATTTTACTTTATATGGCTCCCCAGAGATTGTAAAAAAAATAAGACAATAACAGGACAGTACTACAGTTGCAGGGCATCTTGAGGCACCCACTGAGGGGGTTTCACTATAACACTTTCTTCACAGTAAATTGATGCAGAGAGGGGCGCTGACAATATCATGTCAGTGCCCTACTCTGCATCTGTAGGACCGCCCAGGAAATTATTGAAGATGATGAGGACCATGCAGGATCACGGGACTTTCTGAAGAC